CACCAACTCTCGCTTCTTTCCTTTTCTTAAAAAACACACACACACACACACACACACACACACACACACACACACACACACATTTGTACTGAATATGACAAAATAAATAATTAAAAATAAAGCCGAAATATTAACTTTAAACCGCATGGCATGTACGTACATGCCATTGCCCATTGTATGTGTTGAATTTAGTAATTGTTTTACATATAGATGCTCTAAAGCACTGTCACCAATGAGCTGATTACACGAACTACCAGTCTCACCTGTTTACAGCCACCGCTGAAGTGCGGTATTACTAATACTACTATTAGTAATGTCAGTAAAATATAGCATCATAGTTTATAAAAAAATAACAGGGTCAATATTGATATTAGTAAAAAAAAAATGTTTTCCCACCTTTCAAGGAAAGTGAGGTCGCAAGATCTACTAATTGACTCCTTCATGCTAAGCACACACACACACACACACACACACACACAAGCATTGGCAGAGCCATCTATATGCCGAAACATTTAACCAAGCATTGCCAAATGGAACGCATCATTTCCCTGTCGACATTGGGCTAATTATCTTCTTGAGGAATTTCTACGGCTGATACCTAAATCACCCATGTTATTTCAGCATTCTTTTCTCAATAACACTATGGAAATATTAATATTATCTTAAGCTAATAAAAATGTTCTATTCCTTCCTTTAAGTGTCAATATTACAGAAAGTTTTGTACAATTTCAGGGTGTTCAAAAGTTTTCAAAGTAGCAGGCTACCTAAGTCCAAGTAGGGACCTCCCCTGTGCTGGGCAATGCTTAGCAGCTGAGCGCTAAAGGTGCGAGGTAAAGCATTTTGGGTGGGGTCCGGGGGCCCTCTCCTGTGAAAATTTTGAAAATGCAACCTCTCAGATGCATTTCCTGCAAATCTGAAGACAGTGTTTTTGAATGGTGCATAAAAGTAATAGATTTTTTCTTTATTGTCCTGCTAAAAGGACCCGGCAAATGAAAGGACGACAGATGGCAAATTTTCACTGGGTGCCAGCTACTTTTGAAAACCTTGAATTTCCACATTATTTTATATAAAATAGTATCCATCCAAACCATTTGTAAAAAAAAAAAAAAAAAAAAAAAAAAAAAAGTTTTATACTGAATGCAAAATATCTATACACATTTAGTTTATCATTATTTCCTAAACTGCCTACGAATAGTAAAGTATGGAGAATCTCATAAATATGGAAGTAGAAGCAGAAGAACAAAAAGAAACTTAAATGATAGCAGCCAAAAACAAATTATATATTGTTCCCGCCTCTCCCTCCCTATAATGACGAGGCCTGAATTTTTTGTGATCTAATATCATGCATCAGTCTAGACTTTATGGCTCTGTCTACGCTGCATATAGACAGCCCACCCGTTGCGAGTCATGACATGTATGTCATAAGCCATTATGTCATGATGGTTAGAGCCAAATTTGCCACTGAAGGGTTGATGCCTGAGACAAGCCCCAGAATATTCATGATATATGGGTAAGTAACTATGCCTGCTACTACAAAAATGACAATAGTTCTTAAACTTAAAACATATGTTTTTCTTGAAAGGTACTTGGCCAAGTCTACTGGAATCTGTAGAGTAACTTATAAAATAATTAGAAAGATCTTCACAAAAAAAGAGGGGGGAAAAAAAAAGAAATCTAAGCATAATCTAAAAATTTTCCTCTACGTCATACCTTGAGGTATGTAAAAATCTCTGCAAAGTAATTAGTAAAGAAAGATCGTCACAAAAAAAGAGGAAATCTCAGCATTATATTCATAAACACAAAGAATTTCCCCTTTAAGACTTACCTTGTGGAATGTAAAAATCGGACACAGCCGCAGCCAAATACAGTAAGGCCTTAGGTGCTCGCTGCTGCAGGCACTGAGTGGCTGCACGCAAAAGCCACAGATAGTCAGAGAGGGTGGTGAATGTTAACCACAAGATCCGTCCTTCATTCTTTACCCGTTGATAGTTGTGCCAGATGGGGCGTACCTGTTGAAATTTACTGGCTTTTATTAACCGATAGTAATTTTGTTTAAAGATGTAAAAATTTATATATAAAATGGAATCAAGAACCTTCAGCATTTTTTTCTTTTTTTTACTTTGCGCTTAAAATTCACACACAGTCTACAAATCACCAAAATTGCCTGTAAATATATGACGATCTGTGAGCAATAAATTCTCAGAAACTGCTCCCTACCACACTGTCAAAGAAAAATGAAATAGTAAAGAGTTTGTCATGTGGTGCATGCTTGAACCATTGGTCCGCGGTATTATGCAATATGGCGCGGTAATCGCCCTAAT